CGCCCACCCGCACCCACTCGCCCTGGAACAGCCCCAGCGCCAGCAGCCCGCGCCGGCTCACCCACAGCTCCGCGCCGCCGCCGCCGCCCGTCCCGCCGGGCACCGCCCGCAGCCGCGGCCCGGAGGCGGCGGCGAAGCGGGAGACGAGGGGCGGCGCGGCGGCGGCGGAGGGGGGGCGGCCGCGGGCGGTGCCCGGCGGGGCGGGCGGCGGGGGGGCGAGGGCGGTGCGCGTCCCGCTGCCCAGCAACCCCTGCAGCGCCGGGCGCGCCTCCAGCACCAGCGGGCCCGGCCCGGGGCCCGGCCCCGGCAGCGCCTCGCCCCGCCGCGCCAGCACCGCGCCGCCCGCCAGCCTCCCGGCCCGGCCCGCCGCCCCCAGCAGCACCCAGGCCAGCGCCGGCGGGCGCCGCACGGGCCACACGGCCACCCTGCGGCCGGCCGCCAGCCCCAGGCGCCGCAGCAGCGCCCCGCGCAGCCACAGCTCCGCGCCGCGCCGCCCGCCCGCCTCCAGCGCCACGGCGCTCAGCAGCACCGGCTGCGCCCCGCCGCGCCCCGCCGGCCGCACCGCCAGCACCAGCGCGCCGCCCCGCCCGCGCAGCGCCGCGCACAGCCCCGCCGGCGCCAGCAGCAGCGCCGTGGCCGGCCACAGCTCCGCCGGCGGCGCGTCCAGCGGCCGCAGCACGGCCACCGCCATCGCGCCGGCAGCGGGGGCGGGCCGGGGCGGAGCGGAGCGGGGGCACAGGCAGCGGGGCCGGGCCGGGGCGGAGCGCGGTGCCCTCCACACTCCGCCCAGGCCGCAGAGTGGGAGGTGCGCTCCGGGCTGGGGCGCTGCGCTCCGGCGCTCGTTCCGAGCCGCGCGGGCGGCAGCGACACCCCGTGACCGTGACACTCGGGCCCGTCCTCCCCGGTTCCCGCAGCCTGCAGAGCCAGAACCTGCGGATTCACCCTCCCAGAGAGTGAAGGTTGCCGAAAAGGCGGGCGGGGATTTTGCTGTTCCGAGCCCCCCGCGAGCCTCACGGCCGCACAGTGCAGGATCGAGGGAAAGGACACTCGGTGGCCTCGCCTGAGGAGATTGTGCGGGCTGGACACGTGCAGCTGGTTTAAAAGAATGGACTTGTATTGGTGTTAGTGCTGAATTAACCTAGGAAGTCATAGAATAGTCTGAGTTGGAAGGGACACATAGAATCATCAAAGCCCAACTTCTGTCCCTGCCCAGGACAGCCCCAGTAATCACAGAGAATGCCCGAGAGTATTGTTCAAACACCCACTGAACTCTGTCGGGCTTGGTGCTGTGACAGCTTCCCTGGAGAGCCTGTTCCAGTGCCCCACCACCCTGTGGGTGAAGAAACTTTTCCTAATATCCAACCTAAGCCTCCCCTGATACAGCGTTAGAGCCATTCTCTCGGGTCCTGTCGCTGGTCACCACAGACAAAAGATGAGCGTCTGCCCCACTGCTTTAATCGTGCAGACTGAGATGGGGTCCCTCCTCAGTCTCCTCACAAGGATGGCTCTTCACCACCTCCGTAGCCCTCCTTTGGAAGCTCTCGAACAATTTTAATGTCTGTTTTACATGGCAACGCCCAAAGCTGCCCCCAGAACTCGAGGTGAGGCCGCCCCAGTGCAGAGCAGGGGGGAACAATCCCCTCCCTCACTCATGCAGCAGGCGATGCTGTGCCTGATGCACCCCAGGACAGGGTTGGCCTGTGTGAAAAACCCCAATCACTCGTTTTTTAAATGTTAAAAGTTTAATAGTAATAAAATGGTTATAAAAATAGTAATACAATTAGAGTAATAATAATTTGGACAATTTGGATTAGGACAATATGAGACAATAAAGATAAAGAGTTGCGGATGTCCGGGTACCTTTTTCTGGGCAGCATAAGCCTGGAAAAGGACCCACGTTAACAGAGGATTAACCCTTAAAAACAACAGCCTGTTGCATATTCATACATCTATCTATGTGCTATACATATATAGCACATAAATTCCATTCAAACACAGGATTCTGTCTGGTCATCATCAACTTCTTCCTTCTAATCCTAACAGCACCTTCGAGGCGGGAAAAAGTTCGTTTCTTCAGATAAGAGGGCAATAAATTCTTTTTCTCTGAAAGATTTAGGTGTCCTGTGGCTGCTCTCCGGTGCGAGTGCCTCATTCCATTCTAAAAAAATTCCACTATCATCGTTCTTATTTTAATTACAAAAGCTACCTTTTAATTACAAGATTACATTTATTATTAAAATGTTAATACATCCTCTCCTCCCCTCCTCCTCCTCCTCGCCGTGTCCCATCGCCCAGCTCCACACGAGGGAGCGCTTACAAAGCGTTCGGACTCGCTCTCTGAGCTCCCAGTCTGAAAATCCAACCTGCGGCTCGGCAGGATTGGCCAAAACAAAGTGACACAGATATGAACATTGCTGAAGCTGTACGAAAATGGCACAGTGAAGATGCTTCTGCAAATGCAGCCCTGCAGCCTTCTCTGCTCTGGGCCCATCACTGGGATGTAAGAAAATTCTGACTTCCAGTGGTTGAGTCATTTTATCTCTGCTTTAAAATACATATTATATTAAAACTATACTAAAAGAATAGAAGAAAGGATTTCATCAGAAGGCTAGCAAGGAATAGAAAAGGAATGATAATAAAATCTTGTGACTGCTCACAGCCTCAACACAGGTGGCTGTCATTGGTCATCAAATAAAAAAACAATTTTCACATGCTGGGGAAACAATTCTCCAGATCACATTCCAAAGCAGCAAAACATGGAAAAGCTGAAGCTTCTCAGAAGAAAAGATTCTAGCAAAAGGATTTTTCATAAAATATGTCTGTGACAATGTTCTGCTGGGCTCTGCTAGAGCAAGCCCAGCACTTGTGGCTGAGGGATGCCCGGGGCTCCTTACAAAGGGAATTTCATGGCACCGGGCCCTGGTGTGGTCACCAGGACGGCTGTGGGGTCTCACATGGAGCAGTGGAGATGTGTGCAAGTGGCAGCCATTGCCTGGCATCAGGGTCACACTCTTGTCACTGAACCAGCACTGGCTGAGCCATGGCTGGGTCTGGCTGCCAGTGATCTCAGGACGGATCAAACCGGAAGCAACAACTGGAATGTGCTGCCCTACTGCAATTGCTGTTCCAAGCAGTGACCTTGGAGGACAGTGGACACTTCCCTGCCAGCAGCCCTCCTCTTGGCTCCTCCTTGCCAGCCTGTGGTGAGCGCTGGGATCCCACCAGGCACTGCCAGGAGCGCTCCCCGTGCATGCTGGATCCACAGAGTCTCCCCTTGTAGCGCTGGTGGTGGTGACGTGCCTGCTCTCACAGCCCTGCAGCCAGCACAAGGCAAGGAGCCAGGCCATCTGCACGCAGGCAGACCAAAGGGGAAAAAAATAAATAAATAAATAAAAAGGATTGCAAGCATCCAGTGCCAGCGTGGCACAGCCCAAATAAAAGGTTTGCAGATGCTGCTCAGGCAGGATTAGGCCTCCAATGTGCTAAGTCTCGGCTCTCAGTGAGCCTAATTGCTGCTGCAATAAGCCCTGGCTGGTCCTTTCCTGAACCGTGCTCCCCACAGCCCCCCCAGCAAAATTTTTTTTTTTTTTTTTTTCCCCTGCAAAGCTTGTATTTGCCATGCATGTGTTACCCCTCCCCACAGCAGCCTGTAGGGGTCTGGCCAAGCCAAGGAGGGGAAAAGCAGGAAATCTGCACGTGCCACTTACTGCTGTGCTCTGCTCTTCCCAGGAAATGTCCCCCCTCTGTCCCCCTGCCCAGCACAGCCTGCAGCTGCAGCTGTGAGAGCAGCCAGGCCCAGCAGCAGGGACAGCATCAGTACCTGCCCCACACACCCCCTGAGCTGTGTCAAGACACTTTCCAAATTGGAATTACTCAGATTTTGATAATTTTCCGTTATGTTTTGGCTGGTGGATGAAACTGGAGGTGTTCCAGGAGAGCTGTCGAGGCGTGCGCATGGGCCAGTTCAGCAGCTGCCATGAGATGTGTCAAAGGAAGGTATGAATTGCAATAGAGAGCATGAAAACCAAAGATACACCACAATTTTATTTATGGATGTGTAATAAATAAATGGTGGACAATACAGGAAGAGCCACATTCAAAAATCCAGATTACTAAAGTGCTTTTAGACATAAATATAGGGTGACCAAGAAACAGCTCTGACATTAACACTTTTTACAGACAATTACAAAATATCTTCTTATGTCACTTCACAAAATTGTTTAATTGTTCCAGGGTACTATGGCTTGCTTTTCAAAAAGGTCTGTTCTATCATGCATAGTGTGGCAAGTGACATTCAAGAGTGTACAAAATCATTGCATAAACAAAAACCTCCTTACCCCCTTCTCCCAGATACGAGTTAAGGAAGATACACAGTGTAAATCCAGTGATAAGGCTGCATTGGCAGGCTAGATCCTCAGGGAACATAAACCTGCCTGGCTGTCAGGTTACACCAGCTTGAGGATGAACCCTACCATGTTTAAAAACCCTGCTGAGGTGGAAGATTTGTGTGCTGGGCATGGAAGGACTCGCACACGGGCGCTGCACCGGGGTGGAAGCGCTTGGAGAAGGCGTCTGTAAACTCCTGCACCATCCTTGCCCCTGCATGCGGGAGGAGGGAGCAACTCCCAGTGTGCTGCTCCTCTTTGTGCTTCTGGCTAGCTGGGGGAGTGGTCCCAGCACGGAGGGGAAGGAAGGAAGGAAGGAAGGAAAGAAGGAAGGAAGGGGGCTCCTCCCCAGCAGCAGTGGGTGCCGACCACAATGCGCGCCCATCCTCGCACTGCCCCTGTCCCCTCTGCCACCCTCCACCCTGGCTCTGCTGAGAAGTGAACAGCTTGAAAGTGAGGGGACGAGGGGATGTGTGTGCCCAGTTTTTAAAATGCCCTGAATTCGGATAAAAGTTCCGTTATTTAAGAAAAAAAAATATATATATCAATAAATCAATAAATATTATGGTGTCGCCAGGACGCTGTGAGGTCTGGCCTCCTCCAGGCAGCCCAGGCTCAGTGGTCCCTGTCCTTCTGCTCTGAGGGGGGGTCCCCGTTGATGTACTGCCTCAGCACACCCCTCTTCTCGTGCTTGGCTGTCCTGGACAGGTCGATGGCTGTGTCCTCCGAGTCTTTTGCAGGCCCAAGCTTGTCAGAGCCCTTCTGGGAGCTGGCCTGCGTCCCTTTGAGTTCCTCCTCCTCCTCCTGCTGCTCCACTCGCCAGCCATCTGCCAGCTTCTCTTGGCTCTCTGCCTTCCTGCTTACCTCCATGGACTTTTTGTGCATACCTTGCAGAGGGGAGAGAGAAAAGCCAAGGGCACTGGTTGCTTATTTCTGCTTGGGACGGCTCAGAATCACCTCCTGAATTACTGCTGCTTCCCACAGTTCTTGCCTACATCCCAAGGAAAGCTCTCTCTAGCTACCAGCCTTTCCCAACCCAGAGCCCTGCCACCCACTCTCTGCAGCCCGAGGGGATGGCTTGTGGCAAAATTAGTCTGTGCCTTCTCTGTAGCAGGGAAGGCTTACAGGGAGAGGTGTGCTGTAATGACCCATTCCAACCTGGAATGAGCAGAGGGTAGCTCTGAGGTATCTCCAGTTTAGGGACAGGTGGTGGTGACTTCTTAGATGCCTTGCAACTCCTTGATACCCACCCACGTGCAGGCACCTGTCTGACACAGCAGCAAAAGGTTTTCCTTTCCCTCACTGTTCTTTGCAAGGAGGAAGCGGAAAACCGAGGGCACTTGGCGGCCTATATACAGCTCTGGGCCAGGGAGGCCCCATTCCTTTCTGCAAAAGGGTGAGGGCAGCCAGATGAAAGAAGAATCTGAGTCCTGAATCCCCCAGGTTCCCACTCACCCAGCAGCCACGGGGCGCAGGATCCCACCAGGCCGCTCTTGGCAGAGTTGAGGATGGACTCGGGCAGGGGGATGGAGTGCCGCACCATGGCGCCGTACAGGCCGTACTCCGCCATCACGCTGCTGCGGCCCCAGCACTTCTCCCGCTTCCGCCACTTGGCTCTTCGGTTCTGAAACCAAACCTTCAGGGGTAACAGCCAGGAGAGCACGGAGGGGTGGGTTGGGGAGGAGACAGCCCCCACAGGCCGGTGTGTGTCCCGTGGGGAAGGAGGGAACGTGCGTCCAGGGCAAGGCCAGCCGTGGGGGTGCGTGCAGGGGTGGGTGTGCAGACACCGTGTGGGGAGGGGTGTGAGGGAGGGCACACACGTGGGTGTCAGAGAGGGGAGGAAGGGGGGGAGAGGGAGCACATGTTAACATCAGGCTGGTGGTGACACAGGAGGGTGATCCCAGCGAAAGTCACCCGACGCTGCTCTGCCTGCCCGCAGGGCCTCCCTGCCTGATCCACAAAGCACCAACCTCTCCAGAAATATGGCTTCATAATGCAGTGACCAATGATGACAGAAGCTGCTCAGGTCCCTCTTCCCACCCCACTCCTCTATTTGAAGGTTCAAGGCAGCAGATATAACCATGCTGCTGCCCAGACCACCACCTCATTGTTAAGCCCCTGAGCTGTTCCATAGGGGAGCAGGATCAGGCCCCAAAATGCCACGTGTCCCTCAAAGGGGCAAGCTAGTGAGCAAGCTCCTGTGACACAGCTTGGCCCAGCAGCTCCAAATTGCTCCCAGCTCCTGCCTGAGCGGGAGGACAGAGCCAAGTTGCCAGCAAAGAGCGACTGCTGGGGCCAGCTCGGTGCCCTGGTTCTGCATGTCCCTTGGAGGCTGTTCGATGCCAGCAGCCACAAGCTGAGCCTCCCCCCAGGCGTTTCGGTGCCACCACGCTCCCACCACCTGCACCCACTGCCACAGAGCAGAGGACACGGCCGGGTGATGGCAGCCCGCAGATTCCTCGGGAGAGAGAGGAGCGCTGCAGCCACCTACCTGTATCCTGTCCTCCGGCAGCTCCGTCTTCACGGCCAGCATCTCCCGGGCATACACGTCGGGGTAGTGCGCTTCATTGAAAGCCTTCTCCAGCTCCTCCAGCTGGTGAGCTGTGAATACGGTCCTGCCGAGAGGAGAGAGCATCCTGTGACACCGTCCGGACCCTTGGGCAAACAGCGAGGCTGGCAGCCCCCCACGCTGAGGTTTTCTTGCAGAAAATCCTCCCCACACCCCAGCAGCAGCCCTCCTCTTTCCTCCTTTTCCTCCCTTTATCCCCCTTGGGGATACCGACCGCCCCAGCCCGGGGAGAAGAGGAACGGCGAGAGGATGGTGGCAGCAGGAGGAGGTGAGAACGGGGACACAGCCTGGTTCCCAGCGCTACCTGTGCCGGCGTTTCTTCCTCTTGATCTGGGAGCTGGACATCTTCAGCTCGCTGGCGTCCCCGGACAGGCTGTCCTCATCTGGCAGCAGCATGCGGGAGGGCAAGAGTCACGTTCCCGTCGGGAGCGGGGCACCCGAACGCGGCTCCCCGAGCACGGTTCCAGCCGCCCGGGGGCACGGAGGGGTTCCCTCCCCGAGCTGAGCCCGCACCGGTGATGCCATCCCGGGGCAGGGGTGGGAGCCCGCGTTGCCGGAGGGCGAAAGGCTCGGCAACCCGGCGGGACGATGGTGCGGGGCAGCCCCGGCAGCGGCTCGGGACGGGGCTCCCCGTGCGCGGCCACCCCGGACCCCGACCCCGCTCACCGGAGATGTTCTCCTTGTGGCGGCGGGCGGCGGGCGGCGGCCCGGGCGGCGGGCGGGGGCCGCGGGCGGGCAGCAGCGGCAGCGGGGCGGGCAGCAGGCACGGGGCGCCCGGCGCGCCCAGGCTGCACAGCAGCCCCAGCCCCAGCCCCAGCGCCCCGCCGCCCTCGTAGCCGCCGGTGGCGGTGGCGGCCGCGGGGGGCCCGGGGGGCGGCTGCAGCTCGGCTTCCAGCCCCAGCAGGTCGGTGATGGCGAAGCCCTTGGCCCGCAGCCCCGCGCCTCCCGGCCGCGCCGCCGCGCCCGGTGTCACCGGCACGGGCACCGCCACCGGCCCCGCCGCCGCCGCGCGTCCCCCCGACGGCTCCGCCCGGCCCGGCATCGCCGCCGCCGCCGCCTGGCCCGGCCACCGCCACCCGCCGCCCTTTTTATCGTCCCGCCGCCGGTGCCGGCTCCAATCACACTCCAGACCGGCGGGGGGGCGCTCCCAATCCCGGGATTATCAGCCTCGGGCCCCCCTCCCCCGGCGCTCCCGGGCCACCGCCCGGCCCCCGCCGCCCCTCTCGCCGTCCCTCCCTCCGTTCCCCTCGGCCCCCGCCCCTCGGTGCTCACCGCCCCCTGCCGGGCCCCTGCGGTTGCGCTCGGACCCTCTCCAGGACCCCCTCTCAGTGCCCGGCCCGCTCACCCTGTTGCCCTCCGTGCCCCATAAATCCGTCTCGCATCCCCTTGGGTTTCCTCCCAGGAGCTCCCTGCTGTGTCCCTGTGTCCCCACATCCCCTCTTCCACTGCCCAGTAGCCCCATTCCAGCCCAGGACTCTTCAGCCCCACATCCCAGATGGGACATCCCACCCTGGAGACGGGGATGGGAACAGGCACAGCCTCCCCTGACCCCAGGTGTCTTGTCACTCGGGCCAGGGCCACCTCGAGGTGCCTGGCCTCTGTGCTCCCTTTTGCTCCCAGATTCTTGCACCTGGGCTGCAATTTTTTTCCCTCTTCCCTTCATCTGTTGATGGAAATGATTTACAACCGGCTTACACGGGCCGCCTGATCCAGGCCTTCATTGGACGGTCAGATTAACCGAGGGTCCTTCTGATAAAGATAATTACAAGGGGACTCCGCATTAACTTTGCATTATTAAAGAAAGACCCAAATCTCCCATCGCAAGCTGTTCCCAGGATTAGCAGAACAATAACTTTCATTTAGGATAATTGCCGTGGCCGGCACTGGGGGCTGGCTGGCGGGGGGGAGCCCTCTGGACCATCGTGCTTCTCACCAAGAAAGGCAAACGGGTGTGAGGGGAGTGGGAGGTGTGCAAGTGTGGCCACCAATTCGGGGTGCTTGTGTGCTCGGGATCAAGGGATGCTGTGGGCATCCCCACCCTGGGTTGCCCCTGCCCGGACACAGAGCACCCCGGGATCCCCTTGGGCATCTTCACTTCCCCAGAGTGGTTTTGCTGCAGTTTTGCTGGAATAGGAGACTTTCACTGCTAGGCAGGGAGGATCTGCCACAGTAATTAGAAGTCATAATCCGGCCACCACCCACAACAAATTTCCTGTTCGAGCAGATATTAGTGGTTAAAACCCTAATTTTTGATGTTGTCCCAGAATCAGCTTGATTTCAGCAGTTTACATTGAGGCTGAGCTGTTGGGAGAGATGATGAAGCCTTAAATATGCATATGGCCTAGGCATTTGGAAAGTTTGGGGATAAAGCGCGTATAATTGCTCCTAATCAGTTTATGAAACATAAAAGCTCAAACCCAAGAGAAAGCCGATAGACGCAGAAATGGAAATAGCGATTAAATCTCCCCGTGCTGGCAAGGTGGCCTGGATATGGCGCTGCCTCCCAGAGCCAGGGTGAGTGAGGCCGTGCCCTGGGGGACGGGGACACACCTGCTCCTGGGACAGGACACTGGGACGGGCTGTGGGGACACTCCTGCTGCACCCCCAGCTCCCCCAGGCACGGTGAAGATGGGCACCTCCACCAGTCCTTTGGACAATAAATCAGTTAAAGGATATCTTGATATATGCTCATCAGATAGGATTAGCTGGGATTAGACTAATCAGTAAATGTTTCTCTGCTCATTATTTTCTAAGGAAGATTTTCAGCTGATTCTCCGACGCCGAAAGATTATTAATCGCTTAAAGAGCAGAACATCAAACATCGCCCCTTGCTCTAATTTCCCTGGGGTTTGCCCCCCCTCTCCATGGGCAAGGTGCCTGTGCCAGCCGGCCCAGCAGCCTCAAGGTGCCCAGCAGCCAGAACCTCCATGGGGCTCTACCAGAGCAGCCCAAGGCCACAGGAACCCAGCCTTGGTGCTGTCCCATGTCCCAGGGGGTGAGCAATGCCTGCAGCTGATGCTGGAGCATCCCCATCCCTGCTGCTCTTTGCAGGACTAGGGACACAGCCAGCTGGGACAGTCCCCAGATTGTCCCCTGCTCCACCACTGTGTCAGACACCTGCCATGACCTGCAGGATGGAGGGCACACGTGATGGGATCCATACCTGGAGCTGTCCCACTCAGAGCCCAGAAACAAGCCTTAGGGGATTACAGACACATGCATCGTTTTGGCAGACCCTCCTCAGCTGATGATAACTCCAGAGCCAGCATTTGGTGGGATTTTGGAGTCCCTGTCTTCACCGTGGGCTCAGGGAAAGCCCCCAAGGATGTGCACTCATCCTGCCACCACCTGCTGTAGCAATGAGGAGGGGGCAGCAAGGAGAAGGTATTGAAGGGCCTGGTTTAGGGGATTAGTAATGGGATAAGACAGCTTTCACCTCCCTGGTTTAGATATGAATCAGGTCAATAATAAAGGACCATCTGACAGTTTCAGGCAGCTCGGGGTGGAAGAGGCTCCTGTGCCCCAGGCTGAATGGAGAATCCATGTCCAAAAGCCCAGCTCTTACTGCACACCCATCCCATGGTACCTGCACCAGCAGTCACTGCCCAGTCCTCCTCCCCAGCTCCACATCCCACACCAGCTCCTGGCACACCAGCACAGGAGCAGGCTGGATCCTGCTCCCCAGGGATGATGCTGGAACCACAGCTCTACACCTGCTGTGTAGGGCAAGCCCAGCCCTGCTGTTGGTGGCTTTGCACAGGGGCAGGATGACCCAGAGGTGCAGCAGGGTGAGCAGCCAGCTGATGGCAACACAGGCAGTGTGGCAAGGGTGGGAACCTCAACAAGCATGGACAGAAGAAGAAGGGCTTTTCTTCTGCCTCCTGCACATCCTGCTGGGAACATGAGGAAGTGGTGGCTGCTGTGAAAGCATTGTCTCTGACACGTGGGTGAAAAGGAACTGAGAAACAGGCCACAGCTAGGGGAGAAGGCAGCAAAGAGGGGGTGTTGCAGCCAGTCCCATTTGTCTTTTGCAAGGCTAAATCCCCACCTCTAAGTTACAGATGAGCTTCCTCCTTGAAATGCAGGCAATGAGACCTTCCTCAGGGGTGGATTGTGTGCACACCCCTGGCCAGTTAGGAATGAGTATATGCAGTGGCCAAGTACCAGTCATTTTGGTGTGATGGATTTGCAGAGGCAGGCAGTGTGAACAGGTTAAACAAATCAGGGAACCTGTGCTCCCTGCACTGTCAGGCTGTGGGAAGTGCTTCCTTTGCAGCTCCAATGGGTGTGGGTGAAGCAGAGGGTTTGCAGGCTGAGCACAGCCACAGCTGGCCACGCACCACCTGCTCAGTGCCGCAGCATCACCAGCCCAGCTGACTGCAAGTGTTGTCAGCCCTAATTTGGCACGGGGGGTCCTTTTCCTTGTCCACACACCCCAGAGACATCCCTACTAATTCCTCTGCGCAGATTTCTGTCTTAAGGCATTTGCCTTTGATTAAAACCAGAAGAGCAGTCACGGTTTAAGTGGAGTTTAAGAGCAAAGCATGTGCCCCCACACAGGGCGCTCACATCTGGAGTGTCACGGATTTAATCAAACTGCTGGGAAGTGCCACATGCAGACAGCTGTCACAGCAGCCTGGAGCCCATCTCCTAATTAATTCCTAGCCAGCATGGGGCAAACAAATGGCCAGCAAGGTGCTGCACCTACAGCATCAACTGTGAGCATGGCTGGCAGTTGTGAACAAGCAGAGCTCACCCTGTGTATCTCCAAGGAGCTGTAGGTGATGGAGCCCATGGCAAGTGCTGTTCCTGCTCCTAGGAGGAGCCTGGGGCTTGTTCCTGAGGGGAACAGGAAGGACAGAGTGCTCAGAAAGGAACCCAGATGGAGCAGGCACAACAGTGGTAGCTCCAGTTTCTGGTTGCTCCTGCAGCTGCTGCTTTTTGCTTCCCCTCCTTCTTGCTTCTGCCAAACTTGTTGCTTCCTAGTACCATTTATCTGCCCATCTCACATCCCCGTGGGCAATCCCCTCTTGTCCTAGAGAGGATGTGTGAGCTGGAACACACAGCCCTCCCCAGAGATGCTCTGCCTGATGCTACCCAGGGCCTGGCACTTGATGGCACAGCCTTAAGCAAAATCTGGACAATGGCAAAGCAGGTCAGACCCAGACTCGGTTCTCCTTGGTGCTCATTCACAGCTCATTAAAGCTAATTGAAATGACTACCAAAGCTGGGTCTATGTGGGTGTTTGGAAGCTCTGGGCACAAGGCACAACTAGGCTGAGAATATCCAACTGTGAGGAGCCCCAAACTAGCCGATGGACTGTCCACTCCAATTAGCCCCACAAAGGAGCTATTATTCCTTTGCACTATGCTTGTCTGATTACTTTATCTTATTATTTTTTGATCATTCCTCCAAAATGTGCTAATTAAACAGAAATCATCAAGTCAATTAGAGAAACTCTCATTAAAACCGAAAAGAAAAGAAAGTATCCGCAGAAGAGAAACGGCTGTGAGGGTCCCAAACACACACAATAGCTGCCATATCCATTAAATCAGCAACTCCCAAAAGAGGGGTAGACACTGTCCCACTCTGGTCTGTGCCCTGGAAATGAAACTTCCCAAGCAATGGAGTCAGAAACTTCCCAAGCAATGGAGTCAGAAACTTCCCGAGCAATGGAGTCCTCTCCCTCTCCCTCTCCCTCTCCCTCTCCCTCTCCCTCTCCCTCTCCTCCTTCCCATGGCTTTCCCAGCTCAGGAACAAAGTGAGCCCCCAGGCAGCGCCTTCTCCATGTTCATATCCAGCACCTCACCAAGCACTTCCAGAAAAATGCTTCCCTTTGCACCTCCCTCCCCTGGCCTGGAAGCAAGACACAGGAAAATGCAGCAGAACACGTTAACCAGTGATTTCAGCAAGTAAAGAAAGGGAGATTACAGCTTGTTCTGACTTGTTCAGAGTGGCAGAGCGTCCAGCTCAGCCCTGGTGCTGCCCAGCCTTTGCATTTCCAAACCAGTTCAGCCATGCCTAATCACAGGCACTGTGCTC